TAGCGGTTTAGGGTTTAGGGTTAAACGATGAACCAACGTCCGAGCAACTATATACAGCCTAGCCTGGAAGCCTCCAATCCAAAACCCGCCGCAAGCGAAAAAGCCTGCACAAAACCCTAAACCCTAAACCCTAAACCCTAAACGCCAATCAAAAGCTCAAGAGCCCTAGGCTCCACATGGATGGGGCTTGTGTCTGTGATTCGGTTTGTTCGGTGAAGGCTGGGACCTTCCTAATCGGAAACGTGACAACTACTGGGTTCTTGTTAAGGGATCTAGTTTAAGTTACCATAATAGGGATCTATAGTAAATAATATGGTTTCCTTATTCTGGAACCCAGACTACTGGCAGCTGTGGGTCAAAGAGCGTTGATCTGATCTTGGGTTCATGGTTTAGGGTTTAATTAGGGGCTATTGCCGGTTTATAGAGTTTGGGGTTTTGGGATGTGGGAATTTTGGGGTTTGGGGTTTATAAGGTTTGGGGTCTAGGAAGTTTAGGGTTTATAGAACTTGTCGCCAAAGACGCTAGTAACACTAGTAATGTAGCGGCCTTAATTAGAATAAGGTTTGGGGAGTATCCTACTATAATCTAAACCCCTACACCCTAAACCCTGAACCCCCAAAACCCTATTCTAACTATTACGGCCCCTACATTACGGCTCAACTCCACGGTAACACTCAGCAGTATGTACAGAAGCCCTGCAAGCTTTTGCTTACTCGACGCGCGGCAGCTTCTCAGAGTGCCCTTCAGATTTGCCCAAGACCCTAAACCCTAAACTCTAAATCCCTAAATCCCTAAACCCTAAACCCTAAATCCCTAAACCCTATACCCTAAACCCCTAAACCCTAAACCATAAACCCTAAACCCTGTACCCCTAAACCCTCTACCCTACAACCCCTAAACCCGAAAACCCTAATTCTCAGAGTCGGCTCTCGCTCAGGCCACCAGTCGGACAGGCCTTGATAAGGGTTTAGGGTTTAGGGTTTAGGGTTTAGGGTTTAGGCTCGACCGCGTCCATGTGCGACTGGTCTGTCGCGTGACAGCAAACCTCGCACTGACCCTTGCACGGGCCTCTCATGTCGTTCCAACTCCCAGAGACCATGTCCTTAAAAGTCGCGCCCGCATTCCGTTGGCTCGCCGCCTTCATCTGTTTGGGTACATGGACCCTTAAGGTCAATGCTCGAAGATGGAAGTTGACTTGCATCACGCACCTCGCCAGTCAGCGGTACGGTGGTGTGCGAGACTAACACAGTCTCACGATGGCCCAAACACCAACCTGAGATATGTTTCGTTGACTGAGGGCTCGGGGTTGGAGATTGTCGAAGTAGCGGCTCTACAAGTACAGCCGAATGCGGTTTCAGAAAGTGTTTGCCGAACCGTGTCGTCACTAGTAGGATGCTTGAACACGGAAACAACGCAACGAACAACAACGGAGCTCCAAAGCTAAACCCCAAACCACAAACCCGAAACCCTGCCTACTAACACCCCCTAGAACTAAGAGTCTAAGTATGGTGAAGAGCTCTCCTAGTTTGTTATGGTTGAGGAGTAGACCTTGCAAGAGCCGCGCCAGATCCTGCCGAGCCCCAATCCTCATTCGGGGTCTAGGGTTTAGGGTTGAGGGTTCCTGAGTCCTAATTTACGGTTTAGGGCTTAGGGCTTGTGAGGTTACGGCGAAGTCCCCGTTAACCTTAAACCCTAAACCCTAAACCCTAAGCCCAACCTGGAAAAATGCTGGTACG